TAAAACTACACTTGCTATTTTCTTTTAATGGTGTTTCTTATTATTTGACATTTAGAATATTAAGAGAAATCACTGAGAACTGAAGTCTCTGGAAAAATGAAATGCTGGAGTAAGATTCAAATAGAATTGAATTTAAATAGAAAAGTACTGACATAAGTTTAGAGAGAGACTTGGAGATGAAAGTTTGGTTAGATTTCTTTTTTGTTATTTTAGCTAACCTTTTGCCTTTTGAGAAGCTGCTTTCAAATGGTAACAGTTTTCTGTCATTTTGTTTTCATAGTCACTTAGTGGTCTGTTTTTTTTTTTAGGAAAATAAGTGGGGAAACATTAATTTCTATTATTATTGTTAGGTGCTCTGAAGTCAGAAATGATGTGTAGTTGACCCCCCATTTGGTTCTCAGGGAGTAAATTGCAAGCGAGGAGTATTTGTCACCTTTTTCTTGCAGAGCAGCTGGTGACTTCAGAGTATGTGCCTTTGGTGGCACAGCTTTTTACCATTAGACCACCAGAGCTCCGTTTTATGTATTTATTTGCCTAAAAAAGACTTGAGGAAAGATTATATTCCACCAAAATAGTTTGAACATTATAGATATTCACCTAGTCTAGTTTGTTAGAGATGAGTTAAACTTTCTTCTAAATAAAAGTTGGTGCTGTAGTCATTTATATCATTAGTCACTGCCACTCAGTTGCCAGATAGCAATCTTAAAAAATGTTGAAGCACCAGCATGTCCACTTACATCAAAGTTTGAGTTATGAGCTCACTAGGTAATGTACAAATTATTGTGTTGGAATCTCTTAGCCAATGAAAGTATTTGACAAATGCCACCCTTGCTTAAGACCAGGTAGCATCATTGTAGCTGGTTGAATCGCTGCCTCCGATGTGTAATAGTTTCTGTTCAGCCCCTGGTCCCGCCTGGTAGGTGTTCTCTAACCGAGTGGCCTCCAGTCCGGCTGGTTAGGTGTTAGTGCTGGAGGTCTGCTTTGGAGCTCTTGGAACACCACTGTTTTCTCCTCTCCAGCTCACTTTCAAGGATAATGGGCCACTAAATTTTGCTAACAAGGTACTTCTTTTTCTAAATAATATTCTGCTCATTTGTTTTTTTATTTTCCTTTCCTCTGCTTTCTTTTCCTGGGGGACACCACTGTTCTTGCATTCTTTGTTTATATCCAGGAAAAACACATTTTTAAATACTGTTTTTCACTGATATTTTCTTTTGTGAAGAATTTATTTGGATGATAAGAAAAAAATTGTCATTTTCTGGTAGAGGAAAATGCCAATAGAGTTCCAAAGAAATGAATATTTAGTAGTTTCGTTTCGTTGATGTGTGTGTTTTTCTGCTTCTAGTGTTAATACATTTAGAAGTCAGTAATGAAATTGCTCTCCGCTCTATCGTTGTAAGAATTCATACTCTGTTTTTCAGTCCTTATTGGAGCTGAAATTTTTTTTAAAGTACATAGAGTTAATTATATTAAACATGTTGAGAGACAGAACCTTCTGGCATTTTTTTTTTAGCACTTTGATAATTGGCAAGACTGTGAAAAATGAACATTCTTTTGAAGGTTTCTCTTTTTAGCCATATAGAAATCTTACCATTTTACTTAGATCCTAGAGATCTTAAAAATAATGATACTGAGTACACGACACAGTATTCTTTATTCTTTGTAACTTTCCTTATTTTCATAATGCTGAAACACTTTCCTTATTTTCATAATACTGAAACACTTTCCTTATTTTCATAATGCTGAAACACTTTCCTTATTTTCATAATGCTGAAAGATCTTTTCATTTTCTAATTAAACAATAAGGAAGTTCAACTTTTACCTTTTTTTAAGACCTAAGAAGCATGTTTATTTTAGAATTTATGCACAAGTACCAATTTAGATCATATTTGATTTAAACAGATGAGATTTCATTTGAGTTCATGTCTTTTTATTATCACCCCAGTTATTTGAAGGTTTAATGGAAGATAGGAGAGGGGTCTTTTAAAATGAACCATTCCTTAGTGCGTGTGCGTGTGCGTGTGCGTGTGCGTGTGCGTGTGCGTGTGCGTGTGTGTGTGTTTATGTATCTTTTGCTGTGGTAGAGTTAGAACTTTGAAGAACTTGGGGAACACCTCTAAGGAAAGGTGCGCTATGGCTCTTCAATCATAAATGAATTATTTGAATGAATCATAAATGAATTCTTTGAATGCAGTGGGTTTAGAATAGAAACGGAAAACCCAGGAATCATCCTTGCCCTTCTCTTCTCTTAACCCTGCCTGCTGCCTAACCAGTCAGGCAGTGAGACTCACTGATTTGATCCCGTTTCTCCCATTAGTCCCTTATCCGAATCCAATTTTGACTTTTGTCTTCTCTGAGATTTCTAACTGATCTGTCTCAATAATTTTATCTTCCGTCTTTCCATCATCTCTTTATTGTAGGGTCAATCCAGTTCATCGCTGCCCCTCCAGGGTTTTTCAAAAGCTGTGACTCAGGAGATGTCCTATCTTTCTCCCATGAAGCCCCTTTTCTGCACTTCCTCCTAGACCGATGTTTTCTTCCTTTTCACAGTTCATGGAATATTCAGTATTCTTTTCTAACACCACAATTCAAAGGTATTGTTTCTTCTTCGATCATCATCAGTCATTGTCCATCTTCTATCATCCTTATTCATTGTCCATTAGATACATAGGAAGTGATCAAAAAGACCATGGCTTTGATCAGGTGCACCTTAGTCTTTAAAGTGATTCCTTGTCCTTAAGAACTTTGGAGAAACCTTTCACAGCAAATTTCCCCAGTGCAACACATCTTTTGATTTCTTGGCTTCCATGGTGGTTGATTGTAGATCCAAGTAAGATGAAATCATAGACAGTTTCTGTCTCTTTTATCATGATGTTGCCTCTTGGTCCAGTGGTGAGAATTTTTTTTTAGTGTGTGTGTGTGTGTGTGTGTGTGTGTACCATCAAATCGGATCCTCCTGGTACAGGAGAAGATTGTCCCTTTTTCTCCAGCAGACCATCTGGTGGATTCGAACCATGCATCTCTGGGATTGCAGTGCAGCTTCTTGGCATTAGGCCACCAGAGCTCCCCAATTTTTGTTTTCTTAATGTTGAGATGTAGCCCACATTGAAGACTGTAGTCTTTGATCTTCTACAGTAAATGCCTCATGTCTTCTTTACTTTCTAGGACCAGGGTTGTGTTAGCTACGTAACAGTTTCTTGATGAGTCTTCCTCCTATCCGATGTCACATTCTTCTTCATATCCAGCGTCTTAAATGAATTGTTCAGCATGCACATTGAATAGTTTAGAGAAAGGATATGACCCTGACCCACACCTTTCCTAATTTTAAACCATACAATACATAATGGATGCTTAATGAATGAATATGTGTTGACCTAAAGGAGCTAAACTTATTGCTGCAGCATTGAGGTTTTAGTAATGTTCCACAGATCTGTGGGTGTGAGCTGTCAGTCACTGTAATTCAGATACATCTGAGGCATACATTTTAAGCGTTTTTACTCATTTTTGAGTTTTAGTAGGAAGGAGTCATGGTGGTTTGATGTGTAAAGTGGTTGACTATTGCCAAAAGGTTGCTGGTCTCTGGAAGATAGATGAGGCAGTCTGCCTCCGTGAGGGTTTGCAGCCATGGAAGCCTTATGGGGCAGCCAGTGCTGCTCTGTGCTGTAGGGTCCCTGTGTCACGATTCACTTCGTGTTGCTGGGTCAAGGCAAGGAAGAATTGCCATTCTATAAATCTGGGTGAGATTTGGGAAAAATATATATATATATATCTCAGAAGCCAGTTAATTCTAGTTTGCTTACAGTTTTGAGAATCATTGTCCTAATTTATTGTATGTACTATATAACAGTATATTTTATATGATCGATACCGCTTACATTTTAGGCAATGATTAAGTTTTAGAGGTTTTCATTTCCTCAAGTACAGATGACTCTGAGTCACTTTTTTTTTTAAGTAACTCTTTTTTTGGTATGACATTGACAGAGAATCTTAACTCTTTAAGTTTCTTCTGAGAGATTTATTCGGCAGTTTGTTAACTGCTGCTTAAAAAGGACTTTTTGTTTTCTTCACAAGTCTTCTTGAATTGAAAGTAGTAAGTTGGGATTTATTCCATGAATTTAATTTTTTTTTTCAATTTAAGTTCCTTTCTGTTTTTATTATATTTTTTCAAAATTATTTAAACTTTTTTTTTTTACTGTGTTGTAACATGCGCACTGAAGAGCAGAGATCTTAAGTGAGATCAGCTCAGGGAAGTTTGATTATGTGCATGTCCACAGGGCACCTCTCGGCTGTGGCCGTGCCTTTGTACAGACAGCGCGCTGTGAGTCCCACTAAGGGCCCTGATGTCAAAAGAAAACCACCATTTTTTAATTATTATTATTAGTAAGTTGGTATTTATTATTTATTAAGGCATATTTAAATTTTTATTGAGATTTTGATGAAAGTTTATAAAGAACTTGGATTTCCATTCATTTGTTGTTGAACATTTTCCTCTTTGTCCCCCTTCCCGCCCATTCGCTTTTTCTTTGGAAAAAAAAGAGTTCTTTCATTGATAACCATCATTTTGACTTAGGTGACCATCAGTTAGTTAGTCTCCTGATAAAAGCTACTACGATTTTCTGCACATATCTTTTGGTAAGCACATATACTCATTTCTCTTGGATTTGCTTGGAATTGCTGTGCTACAGGATGGACTTGTGTTTACCTTCAGATATAATGCTGTTTTGCATTCTTGCTAATAGTTTATATGAAATTAGAAATGAATTATTTGAAGCTTGTGGTAAAATTTGAGTATCAAAGAATTTGGTTTTCTGGCATCTTCATCTTTTAAATGGTTATAGAAGAACCTAACATCCAGAGAAAACAAAATGTGTCATTTTACAGGTACTGGAGATGCAGTTATCTTTTAGTCAAAGCATTTTTTCCTGCATAGGTAACTTGATTTTTTCTCTCTCTGTAGGCTCCTTTCCTTGTGGGTTGGCAGGCAGTTGTAGGACTGCAGAATGGGGCTGCGGATTCACTTTGTTGTTGACCCACATGGTTGGTGCTGCATGGCTTTGATTGTCTTTGTCTGGTTATACAATATTGTTTTAATTCCCAAAATTGTCCTCTTTCCTCACTATGAAGAAGGACATATTCCAGGCATATTAATAATAAGTAAGTTGCTCTTTATTTTCTTCAGTAATTAAATAATTCTCGCATTGTAAATGTTTTTGGAGTATAGAACCACCATGATAAATCTTTTTAATATCGTTGTATTGTAAATATCAAATTTATATTATGTGTTTCATAAGAATGGTCTTCATATTTTGCAATATTGGATAAATGTAATATGTCTTCATATTTACCTAATGCTGCAAAATATAGCTCCTGCTATTTTGTTTTTTTAAAAAGAAGCATGCAGTAGTGTTGACCTGTGTGTTAGTGTATATTTTTGGATTCCTGGTGGCACAGTGAAGTGTCAAGTGCTAACTGAAAGTTGGTCATTTGAACCCGCTAGCCTCTCTTCAAGAGAAAGATGTGAGAGAGTACGGCCTTGGAGACCCTGTCGGTCAGTTCTAGTACGCCTTTAAGTTACTATGAGTTGGAATCACCTCAATGGCAGTGGGCTTTAGTGTGTATTTTTAGTATTTCTGTTTCATACATATAAATACAGAGATGATGATACATATTATTGGAAACTGGGAATTTCATGATATTAAAATTATTGATTGTAACATTTATGAGACCACTTTGAAATTCTGGATGACTGTTTTCTACCATAATCTATCAGGGTCTGTAGTCATTAGACAAATCAGGTCCAAATGATAGCTTTTCATTGGCACTTATTTTTTTATGTGTAAGGCTTTATTTTGGCCTTCTAAGAACTGTAAGAAATGTATCGTGCAGATGATAAAGTGAAGCTCTACACCATACAATCTGAAGCATGCTCTCAGCCTGTGTTCCTGTCACATCTATACTTCCTTTTTTCCCAACAAAATGCTTTTATTCTCATTAAGTTAAATATGTACAGTCTATAATATCTAAATAATATATATTATATAACATAGTATTATATAATAATATAAATAGTGACTAGATGTATTTTCCCTTGTTATTTTTTGTAGATATTTTTTAAGTTAAGAAATTTCTAAATTCTCTTTTTTTTATAAATTTTTAAATTGGTTTGCATACAATAATTTGTTTACATTGCGTTTCATTCATGCACATTGGTTTGGGTTTTTCTGGACTCTTTATGTTCAAGTTAAGTATCAGAGTATTTATCAAATAACTCTGACGGCCGAATGATAAGGACTTGTGTTACCACTCAGATCCATTGGTTGCTCCATGGGAGTAGCATGGATAGTTTCCTGTGTGGTTTATAGCCCCTGAAAGCCTCCTGGAGGGTCAGCTATGAGTCAGTTGTAACTTGAAAGCCCATAAAAACAACTAACAAAACTCAACAAGAAACACATTTGAATTTCAGTAATTTAGAGTAATGTTGAAGAGGCCAGTTAAAGTTAATGAAAAAGTTTGCTTATTGAATATTTTAAAGTTTAATCCTTTAAAATATAGTACATGTAATAATTAATACATCTATACAGCTCATTTATATGGTTACTTGTAAAGAATCTTTATTTATAGAATCCGACTTAAAACAAGTTCATCTGATGTTATACAAAAACATTTAAAATGAGTACATTGACTGCAACGTAAGATAATCTAGTAGTATTATTTGCAGTCATTAAAACTTTGTATCTTACAAGATTGTTTATTAATCAAAATGTACATTTGAAAGGTTAACTATGCTTCTTGAGAACAGTATATAGCTAACTTGTTTCTTTCTTTTAAAGTATTCTATGGCATTTCCATATTTTGTCTGGTTGCCTTAGTGAGGGCTTCAATAACTGACCCTGGAAGACTTCCGGAGAACCCCAAGATCCCGCATGGAGGTAAGGAGTTACTCTGATTTATTACCTGTTGCCAGAACTTTCTTTTAAATTGTCTTTGCATCAGTTCTCTGTGTGCCATCTATCTAGCACAGCTTTCAAGTCTTTGTTCAAAGATTTCTTTTCAAACTGATTTATTTAAAATGATAAATCTCATCCAACTCCACTTCCCTGATGCCCTGCTCACCTTCTCTTGTTTGCTTGACCCTGTCTTTCTACATGTAGCTTTGCAGAAGCACCCGTGTAAAGGTGTAATCTTACCTTTCCCTCTTGTCACTTGCTCAGTTGTCCTCACCACAGCCTCTCTTCCTTAGTAGATGTGAGTAAATGCTTGTTGAATGGCAATTATTTGAGTAATTTATTTAATAAATGAATCTTCTTGATGCCATTTACCTGACTCTGAGAAAATTGGGAATCCCAGAACACTTGATCCTTCTAATGCGAAACCTATACTTGGACCAAGAGACAGTCGTCAGAACAGAACAAGGAAACACTGCATGGTTCAAAATTGGGAAAGGCATATGCCAGGGATGTGTCCTGTCTCCATACCTTTTCACCGTGTATACAGAATAGATTATCTGAGAGGCTGGGCTCTGTGAGGAGAAGTGTGGTGTCAGGATTGGTGGAAGATCTATTAACAATCTGCCTTATGCAGATGATACAGCCCTGCTTGCTGAAACTGAGGAGGACCTGAAATGCTTGCTGAAGAGGGTCAAGGACTGCAGCCTTCAGTATGGATTGAAGCTCAATGTCAAGAAGACAAAGATTCTCACCACTGGACCAATTAGCAGCATTAGGATGGATGGTGAAGAGATTGAGATTGTTAACAACTTTAGTCTGCTTGGCTCCACAGCCAACACTCTTGGCACCAGTAGCCAGGAAATAAAAAAACATATTGCAATGGGAAAGTCTGCTGTTAGGGACCTCTCCAAAGTACTGAAGAGCAATGGTGTCACTCTGGAGACTAAGGTGTGTCTGATACAGGATATGGTCTTTGCAATCACTTGTTATGCATCAGAGAGTTGGACAATGACTAAGGAGGATAGGAGAATTGATGCCTTTGAGCTGTGGTGCTGGAGAAGAGTATTGAATGTACCATGGACTGCCAAAAAACCAAACAGATTCATCCTGGAGAGGGTTAAACCAGGCTGCTCCTGGGAGGCAAGGATTCTGAGGCTTCGTCTGACATACTTTGAACATGTTGTAAGGAGGGAGAGGTCCTTGGAGAGGGACATCATGCTTGGGAGGGTAGAGGGACGGTGCAGAAGGGGAAGACCCTCTATGAGGTGGATTGATTTAGTGACTGGGGTAATCGGGATGGGTGTGTCAGAGGCAGTGAGATTGGCACAGGATAAAGCAGGGTTTAGGGCTGTTGTACATAGGGTCGCTATGAGTCGCAAGCGACTTTACAGTACATAACAACAACAGTATAAATATTACTTGGTGCAAATATTCATAGTACTATGGATACTATTGCCTGCATTTGTCTGTGCTCTTAACAATTCAGTGACAAATCTGAAGGTTTGTCATGCTGGTGCCAGTTGAAGTTACTATATAATTATCCGATTGGATAATAATTATTTGACCCACAAACAAAAGCATAAAAATATTTTGCTTGTTTTACTGCATACCACATATAATACAACTTGCATTTTATACATATGTGTGTGTGTGTGTAAATAAAATTCTTTTTTTTTCTAGCAGAGTCTCCCTTTTTGTGGTCATTTGCTATACAAGCTTTTCAAACTCTTGTCATTGTGTGTATTTGACGTGAACATTCAATGATTTATTCATAGCGAATACTTTTATTAAGAAACTCAGAAGATGGCTTTACACATGAGCCTCACCTGATGAACCACACAGGAGTAGAGTTAACTACATTTGTGGAAGGAATTATTGGAGAAGCTCGTTATCAGCAGTCATAACTAGATTAGGTGCTACGTGTGGAATAGATCATCTATTACTCATGTACAAGTTCAAATTGATACTGAAGAAGATTATAATAAACCCTTAAGAACCAAAGTATGACCTTGAGTCTATCCTACCTTAATGAAAAACTTTCAAGAACAGTTTTGATGCATTGATCACCAGTGATTGTAGTGTAGAGGAGCTGTGGGGGTGAATTCATGTGTGTTGAGAGCAAGAGGTCATTACAGAGACAGAGGAGAAAGAGAAACCAAAGTGGATGTCAGAAAAAACTATGAAAATTACTTTAGTGCTTTTAGATAATGTTATGTCTAGGAATTTATTCATTTAAATCAGATTATTTTGATAACTTGATTGTACTTTAGGGTTTTATCATTGGATCTTATTTGTATTTTATTTAGAAATAGGTCCAGAGCCCAAACAAGTTTTCTATTCCTTACTTGGGCTGTAGCAACATTATCTTACTTCATAGTATTTAACTTTAGAAAATTTCAAAATGAGACACACATAGAGTGGAACAGCATTTTTTTTGCAGTAAGCACAGTTACATTGGAAATATAGGTGTCTCTGAGATATATTTTGAAGACTTACTATAAAATGTTGTTCATATTTTATAGTTTTATTTCAGCCTTAGTCATTTGTTTGCATGAAATGCATTTTCTTTCCTTCTCTAGAAAGGGAGTTCTGGGAATTGTGTAACAAGTGTAATTTGATGAGACCAAAGCGTTCCCATCACTGCAGCCGCTGCGGACATTGTGTTAGGAGAATGGATCACCACTGTCCATGGTAAGTGAAGAATACATAATTGGTTAGCAAAAATAAAAAAATATAAGTAAGAACACTTAAGACTGAGGCTTGTAAAACAGTGAATGCAGTATCTGGCACATCGAAAATAAAAAAGAGCTAAATAAATAGTAGTTGTTAGTATTTATAATGGTAATACACCATTACAGTTTATGATTTATGTCCTCCTTCCTCTTTGTTTAATTTGGTAATTTCAGATGGCTCAGCTAACCCTTTCCTCCAAAATGAAACCTCTTTCAGTATTACTCTTAGAATATAGGTATTAACACTGCATGCATTTTGGATGTGTGTAGGTGGTAGATAGTGGACTCAGCTGTACTGCCATTGGTTTTGGTCACTGAAGGACTTTTGTAATATTAAAAATAAATGTTCACTTGAGAAGTAGGATTTTGCAAACAAGAGCAGTGAGGATTCTGCATTGTGTCTCATTTCAAAGCTGTCAGAAAAATCTGTGAACCAGATATTGTATTTAATTGTTTTCTAAGCATTGGATCTCTATCTAAATATTTAAGTTTGTATGGTATAGCACTTCCCAAATCTATCTTTATACAGAAATACTATTTATGCCTACATTCATGCATATATACAGAGTTAACTACGTTTAAATCCATTCGTGTCTGCCTCAGTCTAAAATTGACTCACAAGTACAGTTAAGCTTTGTCGAGGAATTCGAACCAGTTTAAAATTGCCCTTATTTTTGTTAACTTATTTTGACAGCACACCTGATTAGTTGTAGTAGACATTTAGTTTTTACTGTAAGTTGATTTTTTTTTACAGAAAAGGTAATTTCCTGAGATTAGGATAATACTATTATAGATAAAAGCACTTTTGTAATTCTATACGCTTTAAAAAATCATATAACGGAGAGTTAAGTGTATAATGGCTATTAGATGCTTTAAAAAGTGCTTTGAACTTAAATAGAGTAATTTTCAAATGATTTTCTAAACCTCAGTGATAGTTTATAATCATGTTGCTGTTGTTGATTGCTGTCAAGCAAGCACGACTCAGCAGTCCTGTGAACAAAAGGCCTTTCTGTAACTTTCATCATTTATCAAAGTTCATAGAGTTTCCAAAGGCATTTTGTTTAGGAAGTGGATGCCACTCCTGCTTCCAATTAGAATCATAGCGGTTACTGATTTAGAATGGGAGGTGAAGCGTATTCAGGTCAGTAGATTCCACTGGGTAACTATTTCCTACACTTTTAACGTAACATTACTGATTAGAAAGATAGTAAATGTTTACAATACAGATGGAAATCGATGCACTTTTTAAAAAGGATGCAGTCATTTCTCTTAAAGAACGATAAAAAATGAATTAACTAGGAAATGTTTCATACAGTAGTAGTTACAGGTTTTAAAGAAATGCTGACTGATTTGTTGGTGAAAAAACAAAGTACTATTTAGTAGAAATTCTAAAATCAGGGTGATTTATGTGCTTCTAGTCGTCTTGGTTCCATAGTTTTAATTTCTCTGAATATTGAGTGGAAGATGGGAAGTAGAAAGATTTGGAAGCTAGAAAAGAAGGATGAACTGGAGATGTGCATACTGAACTCCTCGGAGAACACTGGTCACAGTCAGTGGATGAGGGAAATGGCCAGTGTGAATTAGAAGCAAGGAGAAATGTTGATGCTTTTAGCAATTACACTGTCTTAATTGTCCAGCAGGTTTAGATAACAGGGGCAGTTCTCAGATTGCCACAAGATTGCTTCTCTCGCGGCCTCTGATCATGCTTTGTAAGTACTTCAAATGCTGTAGGAGGAGTTGCTACTTTTAGACTAAGTAAATGAGTGCTTTTTCAAACACCTTAAATAAGAAGAGAGCTAGGGAGCTCTAGTGGCCTAGTGGCAAGAAGCTGCACTGCAATCCCAGAGGTACACGGTTCAAATCCACCAGATGCTCTGCTGGAGAAGGAGGAGGCAATCTCCTCCTGTACCAGTCGGATCTGATTTGATGGTACACGTAAAAATAATACAATTTAAAAAAAAAAAGAAAAGAAGAGAGCTGTGACCTTAGTGGTTATTTCTCGGACATCTGGGGGACAGGAAGGACAAGACAGATGATGGTAATTTCCTTTTTCAGGCAACAGCTGCGGTACCCAGCACTTTGTGTGTGATGGTAACACACTCCTCTGAGAACCCACTTTGCAGATAAAGCACAATGTGCATTTTCTTGCTTACAAAGCATGAGTTCTTAACTCCAAGAAGTGACTCAGTGAAGTTTCAGGTCGACATTAGACTTTTCAAAGGAATTTCACAGCACATGTCAGCACAGTGATTTAATTTAGGAACTACTGCATTAGGAGTTACATCATTTTCAAGGGTGGGTTTTTTTTGGGTTTTTTTTTTTATTCAAACGAGGACAACTGTTTTGAAATGAAATGAAAGAATTACAAAGTAATTTCTAGTTTTGAGCTAGGGTTTTTTTGCTAGAATATTTAAATATTTTGAAACTTTTAAGTAAAATAATTTTATGCAATAAAATTCTTAGCCTAAATATTTCCAGCTTTGGAGAGTATTTAACCGTTAAATCTTCCCCCTTTTTCAGGTTAATCAGTGATATTGATAGATGTGTAGCTTTTAAGTATTTCTAATTAGTTTCAAATATATTTTATTTTTGATGTTTCAGCAACCAGTCAAGGATAAATTTTAAGCATAAGAAATATTACAAATGCTTAAGACTTATGTTGGAATGGCAAGTTTAAGTTCTATTGTTTTATTTTTTCAAATTGTTCTCACCACAAGTAAGCATCAAGAAAGAGCAGTGTACCAGAGAAAGCTCTTATTTGCTTGTCACTGTTTTCTCTGTTCATCTTCTGACAATTGGCTTACTTCCTTCTGTTTTCATAGGAATGAAACAAGGAGACTGTTCTTGCTATCTCACTGGGGTGCTGTAAAGAGGGGTCATAGACATGGACTCCCCTTTACTATATGCTGTTGCTTTTAGGTGTGAGGGACTACAGCATATCTGTATTTAGTTGAACGTAAATAAAGTTGCTTGTGTTTGCTTTTAGTTTCATAGCTTACCAATTCTGAAATTGATATCTTATTAATGATGACACTATTGTTTATTTTTCCATTTTTCCCTTTAGGATTAATAATTGTGTTGGTGAAGATAATCATTGGCTTTTTCTGCAATTGTGTTTCTACACAGAACTTCTTACTTGCTACGCACTGATGTTTTCTTTCTGCCACTATTATTATTTTCTTCCACTAAAAAAACGTAACTTGGTAAGAAATATTTACATCCACTGATGTCAAAGCAGCTGTAGCATAGAGTTATTAATTTGTGGTTCCTTTAAGTACAGCATATTGAAGACGGAAATAATAAAACATAATTTCTCCTCTGTCTTTTGAATATACCTTCCTTGGAGCCAGTGCTTTCTCATGCTGTAGCATTACACAGTGTATGTCAAAAGAGTTGCCCAATAAGGTAACGACAGTAGTGATAATGACAATATCAAGTAGAATTTTTGAGGCCTTAACTCTGAGCTATGTCTGTCACTACGGGCTTCAAGTGCATTTTTGTTTAGTGCACATAACAGTGTGATATATACCTATACTTTTTCTCTCCTTCCATTTTTATAGATGGAGAGACAGACTAATAGAGATTATTGAAGGTGTAAAACTATGGCATGATTGTTCACCTGGCTCCAGATCCATTGTAGCTGGGCTTAAAATGTACTATTGTGTATTTTTTAAAGTGTTATTATTTCTGGTTTGCTGACAGTTTACTGCCCCCTGCTGTCATTATGTCGTTAGGGAGCTCTGATGGCCTAGTGATAAGAATCTACGCTGCAGTCCTGAAGGCATACGGTTCAGATCCCTCAGCTGCTCCATGGGAGAAGGACGGGCCATCTCCTCCCGTGAGAGTGCTGCCTCTGGAAACCCGCTGAGGGTCAGCTATGAGTCGGTTCTGACTTGATCATTAGTACACAGCAACTGTCATTACGTAGGGAGTTCTGGTGACCAAGTGGTAAGGAGCTGTGTTGTCCACCAGCTGTTCCATGAGAGAAGGATGGGCAATCTCTTCCCATCTGATTAAACTGCCTCTGAAAACCTGCTGGAGGGTCAACTGTGGGTTGGTTCCAGTTCAGTGGTATACAACAATAACAACAACAGTAGCAGCAACAACATTATAGGGCGTCCTGGTGGCTTAGGGGTAAGTTGCGCTGCCAGGCCAAAAGCAAGCAGTTCTAATCCACCAGTTGCTTTGTGGGAGAAAGATGGGCATTCTCCTCCGATGTGATTAACTGCCTCCTAAAACCTGCTGGAGGGTCAGCTGTGAGTCACTTCCATCTCGATGGTATACAACAAAACTGTTATTGTGGTATATATTCAGGATCCGAATTCAGAGACTGCCAAAAGAACAAAGCCTGTCTTAAAAAAGAAAGTGCTACCAAGGTGGTCCTTTGTGGCAAGGATGGTGAAACTTCTTCTCATTCACTTTGAGCATGTTGTCAGGAAGGGCCAGTCCTTGGAAAAAGACATCACTAATGTTAGGAAAGGTGGACGATCAGAGAAGAGGTAGACCCCCAACAAGGTGGACACAGTGACGGTGGGCTGGAGCATTCCGTGAGGGTAGTGTGGAATAAGTCTAGGTTCACATATGTAGTTCTTAGGGTTACTGTGGTCATAGTCAACTCAGTGGCGCCTAACAGCAACAACTCTGTCCTCACTAGAAGTCTTGGTAAGCTACCAGGCTGCTAACCGAAGTGGTCCGCAAAATCCACCCGTCAGTAGACAGGTGGACGATCTCCTCCTGTAAATCTTTACGGTGGAGGTCACCAAAAGCCATAATTGACCCAACCACAGTGGGTTACTTAGTAGCCTCATTCAGGAGCCGTGGTAGCACAGTGGTTAAAATGCTCATCTGCTAACTAGAAGTCAGCAGTTAATCTGCCAGCTGCTTTGTGAGAGATAAGACAGTCTGCTTCTGTAAAGATTCCAGCTTTAGAAACGCATGGAGCAGTTCTGCCCTCTCCTTGTGGGTTACTCGGAATCTGTCGACTCAACTGCTGTGGTTTAGTTTTTCTTTTTTGTTATTGTCGAACTGTCTTTGTGTTGTGGAGTTTTGTCGATTGAGAACTAAAACACAGGACAAGAAGACGTTAAGTTTTCTAATTCTTCTGTTCTGTGAATTCACTGTTTATTATGAATTCTCCACATACTGATGCTTTTCCTTCTAGGATTTTTATTTTTTGCCTTTTAGTATCCATCTCCTTGAGTAGACTCCCCCGGTTTGGTTGACCTGTGAGTATCTAGGCTTACTTCATCACCATTTTGACAGGTTTATTTGCTTGGCATAGAATCGTAGTTTGGTGGATATTTTCTTTCCATTTTAAGAGACAGTATCCCATTTATTGTGAATTTTATCTTTTCTGCTGAAAAGGCAGGTTTTCCTCTTGCTATTTCACTGAAGTGACGTCTTTTTTTCCTTTTGGTTTTGACGTTTCCCAGTCAGTCTGTGCTGTGACTTGGTGATTTCTTTGTGCTTTTGCTCTTTGCACCAAATAGTTCTGGCTTTCTTTTCTGTGCTTCAGACTGAATGTCTTCTTGGTTAATGCATTTTCTGGAGGATTAATTAACTTTTTCATTTTTCAGTCTACTAGTCAATCATTCTACTGAGTTGTTAATTTGGTTATTTTTTTCTTATCACTTTTAGAATTTCCATTTTTTTTTTCCTTTCCATAGCTCACATTGCTGGGTACAGTTCTCCATTTCATTGTCATCTCTTTTCTTTTTTTCCCTGTTGTGTACCATCGAATCAGATCCGACTGGCACAGGAGCAGATTGCCCCTCCTTCTCCAGCGGAGCAGCTGGTGGGTTCAAACTGCACACCTTTGGGATTGCAGTACAGATTCTTGCAACTAGGCCACCAGAGCTCTCTTCTTTTTTTTTTTTTTTGGTTATCTATTTTCTTGAGCATTTCAATTACAGATAGTTAAATGTCTGATCTGATAGCCTCAATATCTCCTTTGTCTTTTTTTAATCCCTTTGTTATCAGATATACCAATCTTATGATATGTTTGATTTTCATACTGGGCATTGG